GAGTAGATAACGAACCTGAATTCTGGGGGCAGCTCTGTTAAGCTGCCGACGGCGACAGGCCACTCCCCGGAAGCCTAAAGACTGCATTTAATGGCAAGGTGCCACGATTCCAAATTAACTGGACACTTTGGTTTTGTGAAAACTTTACACCTAATTAAAAGGCAATTTGGTGGCCATCATTAAAAAAAGGACATAGAGCGCTATGTAGTTAGCTGCCCTATTTGTGCAGCAACTAAAAGACACCAAGGGAAAATCCCAGGGTTATTACAGAAGATAGCTGAACCTTCAGCACCCTGGAAAGAGATTGCTATGCACCTTATTGTTGCTCTACCAGAAAGTATGAGGAATACTGTCATTTGAATTGTAACATATCTGTTTTCAAAACAGGAACATTTCATACCTTGCCAAACAATCCCAACTGCCAAAACTGTAGCCAAGTTATTCCTGATACACATTTATTGCCTTCATGGATCTCTGCAGAGAATCATCTCCGACAGAGGAGTCCAATTCACCTCAAAATTTTGGAGGGCATTTTTAACTTTACTTGGCACCACCCAAGGATTGAACTCGTCACACCACACCCAGACTAAGGGGCAAACTAAAATTGAACTCAGTCCTAGAACAATATCGAAGATGTTTTATTAATTTTCAACAGGATAACTGGACTGATCTTCTACCTTTTGCGGAAGTGGCCTTCAATAATGCAGTGCACTCAACCACTGGTTTCACACCTTTTAGAGTAGCAACAGGCCAGGATTTCAGCCCCATGCTTGAACTACCCACAGAAGAACCCACTATCCCCTCACTTAAATAGTGGATAGACATGTTACCAAACACATGGCCTGTAGTTAGATTAGCTTTAGAGGAAGCTAGAGCGGCTTTTAAAATTCAAACTGACAAGAAAAGAGTGGAACCCAAACCTTTCCATGTTGGAGATAGAGTATACTTATCTACAAAATTCTTGGAGTCATTGCAACAATCAAAGAAATTAGGGTCAAATTTCATTGGACCTTTCCCTATCACTAGAGTCATCAACCCAGTAACAGTAGAATTACTCCTTCCAAAGACACTCAGGCAAGTCCACCCAGTATTTCACATTATTTTACTCAAATGAGAAGTAATCTCACCACTCAGACCACCTGCATCCACACCACCTGTTCCTATCATGATAGGTGACAACACTTTGAAATTAAGGAAATCTTTGACTCTAGGATCCACAGGGGGGAAACCCAATACTTAGTTGCTTGGAAGCATTTACCTTCATCCCAAAATGAATGGGTAGCTAAACACCATGTTAGGACCCCTACCTTATTGAAAAAAAATTCATTCCCTAAACCCTGACAAACCTTGTTAAAATACTATGATGGAATTTCTGTTTCTATCTTTTCACAGGTGGGTCTCTCCTTTTTCTAAAGAACAGCAGCATGTCAGATCCCTAAAAATGATACTGCCATTCAATTGAGAGGAGGGGGGCCTTGGAGTCAATTTATTAGCAGTGCCTGTGACAAGTGATATTTTACAACTGGTTTCCTGGCGCCAAAATGCCTGAGATCCCATCACCTCTTGGTGGGGGATGTTTATGATGGCCATCTGGGATGTTGCACTTTATTGTGTAATGGAATATAGCCATGGGAATGTATGTTTATTCGGCTCTCAGGGCAGTTGATAAAAGAAATATCTTTACACTTGTGTATTGGCTAGAATCTGCATTATAACAAATGGGAGGTGGTCTCTACTCCTTTAATTCTACTTGCATTGCCTAAGGGGATTCAGATGTTGCTTTGACTTTAATGGCTTCCATTCTTATTAATAAAAGGTTCCTTTTGAAATACTCCCTTTCAAGAGTCTCCACTTTCTTAAGTTAAAAGAGGAGCCCTTGCACCCAGTGGACAACCATCTCAATATGAGCCAGCAGTGTGCACCAGCCTCCAAAAAAGTCATCACACTTTTAGGCTGCATAAACAGAGGGATAGAATAAAGATCACGTGAAGTGTTAATACCACTTTATAATGCCTTGGTAAGGCCACTTGGAATACTGCATTCAGTTTTGATCGCCATGATGTAAAAAAAGATGTTGAGACTCTAGAAAAAGTGCAGAGAAGAGCAACAAAGATGATTAGGGGACTTGAGAATAAAACATGAAGAACAGTTGCAGAAACTGGGTATGTTTAGTTGAAAAGAAGGACAAGGGGAGATATGATAGCAGTGTTCCACTAACTCAGTGTCTGTTACAAAGAAGAGGGAGTCATGCTATTCTCCAAAACACTTGAGGGTAGGACAAAAAGCAATGGGTGGAAACTAATCAAGGAGAGAAGCAACTTAGAACTAAGGAGAAATTTCATGAGAGTTAGAACTATTAATCAATGGAACAACTTGCCTCCAGAAGTTGCGAATGACCCAACACCCAAGTTTTTAACAAGATGTTGGGTAACCATTTGTCTGAAGTGATGTAGGGTTTCCTGCCTAAGCAGAGGGTTGGACTAGAAGACCTCCAAGCCCTCTTCCAACTCTATTATTCTATTATTTGAAATTGCAACAGCACTGAGAAATGTGAATTATAACAGGTTCTCATACTTACCATTGCAGCATCCCCATAGTCACATGATCATAGTTCATGTGTTTGGCAACTGGCATGTATTTACAATAGTTGCAGAATCCCAGGGTCATGTGATTCCTATTTGTGACCTTCCCAGCTGGCTTGAGGATGAATAGGCTGGATTATCTGTATTTATTTGATATAATTTGGCCTAAAGGATTTCCTTAGCACTTTACTAGTAGAGTCTGAGGTTATTTTCTACTAAACCATGGTTGATCTTAAAGCTTTGGCAGAACTTCTGAAATATAAGGGTTTCATCCAGATTTGAAACCAAATGTATTTTCTATTCTATTTCTCAGTCATAGTCATAAGATTTAATCTTTAAAGGTGATTAAAAAAAGCATTAAGTACCTAAACATAGAATAAATTACATACAAACATATTTCTTGTTAATGTATTTGTTAGTCTATGGGTTAAGATCTAATGAATTAATAACTTATATGATAATCAAATCAACAAAAACCTCCTACCTCTTGCCGTTTGAAGTTCTGAACATACTCTTCAAACTGTTCATCTTTTGTTTCATCAGCTTTGCCTAGTTTCTGAAGCACCTGCAAGTGAAGAGCAGGAGAACTCATTGTTACTTTGAGCAGGTCTCAACAAATATCAGTTGAGTGATTATATTGCTTTGACATTATTGGTATTCATCTCATTTTGATAATGGGTTACTATTTTTTTTCTCATCAGTTTATATCACAATACTTATACAATACCCTGTTTCCTTGCAAATAAGACCTCCCTGGATAATAAGCCCAATCGGGCTTTTGAGCACATGCGCTAAAATTATTCCTCCTCCAAAAGTAAGCCCTTCCTGAAAATATTACAACACAGCAGCAGCCATGAGGTGACCATGCTTGCCTCCTCCTGTACCTCAAAAATAATAAGATCTCCCTGAAAATAAGACTAATTGCTTATTTTGGAGGTCAAAAGAAAATAAGACTCTGTCTTATTTTCTGGAAACACAATAGTAGCTATGATGCTACTATTAAAAAACAGTCTCCAAGAAGGAAGTGTTGATTCAAAGCAATAACCATTTTATCTTCCTGCATCGATAGCCTGGCAATATTTTAAAAATTACCAAGAGTCTTAGCATATTTTCTTGAAGCAATAAATCTTTCTGTTGATTAATGATCCCAAAGGCTTCACTGCAACACAATAGAGAAAGAAATCTGGCAGAATAATAAACCACTATGCCAGTCAGGATGTTGAAGACCAAACTGTATTAAGCTTTCCATTACATGTTATGGTTCATTATTCCTGACAGTAATCAACATTACTTCAATCTGTGTCTAATTTTAAACACATAGCAATAGAGAATCAGGGAAATAAATTGGCTTGCCAGTTAATGAGGTATGAAATCTTAAACATGAACTGACAAATGAGTTTTGGGATTTGTCACCAACATTAAGCTTCAAGTATATTTAATGCCATACAAATATGTACAAAATAATTAAGGTGAATATTTGCATTGCTCAAAAGTATGCTGAAGAGACCAAGATGCAGAATCTCAATTAAGTAAGGCATAACATCTGTGGGTGAATTTCCAACACAGTGGCAATAGAAGCACTTCATTAATGAACAAATTGAAATAAAATGGAATGAGATTTTAAACAAGTGCAATGCAGACATACATATTTCTCCAGAAAGAGACTTCAGACACCTTAGGCACTGAAGAGTTTTGATCTGATATTCATAGAATAATGTAAAGATCAGCTGAATATGAATCAGACAAAATTGAAGCATGAACTTCCTAGATGGCAGAACTCAGTTATGCACACAGCGAACAACTTCACACTTACATTAAAACAGAAGAACATTTAAAGCTTGCTCTGCAAACTCTTATTCTGTTTGGTTGTCAGACTCCCTTGGGGGCATGCAGGGGTAACTTTGTAGATCCCATATATTTCTCTTCCTCTATATAAAGTTTCTGTTTCTTGCATTGCTGTAATGTGGGAGGGGTTTTGTTTGCACTGCTTTCAATTGGTTTTTTTTAAGTGGTAAAATTTAGTTCCTGCCTAGAACTCTTGCAATCACAAGCCTTTCAATAAAAGCTCTTTTTGAAGCAACTGCAGTTTCAAGAGTCCTGCTTTCTTGGGAGGATTGGAGAGGCAAGATCTTACACAGACTTTCTCTCTCTCTCTCTCTCTCACACACACACACACAAACACACACACCTGCAGCCAATAAATGTGAGTGCTGGTGGAGAAAGTCACATTATTATGTCATCTTTTGTTTTTATATTTCTGGATTCTGCAGGAGACAAAAGAGTGGTACATTGCACATCTGTCTGACCTGGTCTCATCATGTGCAATCAGAGACTATGAATACACACATGCACACACAATTTCTTCTGTAACAGATGATATCTGATATCTGAAGGTGAAGACTTAGATAGATCTCAAAAAAGAAAAGAAAAAAGAAAAAAAAGACTTAGATAGATCTCCTTGAATGAGAGGGAAGATGTCATGGCTTAGAGCCCTGAAACCTCATCAAATAAAACAGCTCTGACTCATCCTTGAGCCTCCAAGAGTAGCACTTCTCTGCCTAGAAAAACAAAAGCTGAAGATTAAAGTAAAGGCATCTAGAGAGAGACAACAACTGTTGCTTTAGTGAGAACTTTAGTGAAAAGGTGGAGGAGGCATTTGCTAGAGGCAACAAGCTCTGTCTGTTCTCTGTGACAGCATCCTTCTAGATTCGTTTCGTTTCATTTTCGTTTAGATTTATTTATAGGCCGCCCTTTTCCCTGAGGGGACTCAGGGCGGCTTACAATCAAAAAAGGAAGGGGAGTGTAGTACAATGCCAAAAAGAAATGTGCACAAAGTAAATTAGACAGTAAAACTCAACATTCACTCAGCATTCGGGAGGGGCNTATGTTGTCTGATGGTCCTGGGGAAATGTTGTTTCGTCTCACTGTGTACTGTACTGTATATTGTTGAAATGACAATAAAACCTACTTGACTTGACTTGACGATAACTGCAATATTCTGAGGTTGTATAGTCACCATTCACTTAATCACCATATGATTCACTTAACAACTGAGGCAAAATGATAAAATTGGGCATGACTCATTTAACAACCAACTTTCTTAGCAACAGAAATTCTGGTTGCAATAAAGGTCAACCTGTATTACAAGCTGTCATGTTCCAATATTACTATGATAAACTCTATTTATAGCTTTTGCATAGGGTGTATTCAATTTTTTTTCTAGATTTCTTCTTACTGCAGTTCCAGTTGGATCCAGGCTACTTTAAAATTCAATTTCTGGCTGCTCTCTGTTATATTTGATCCTATTCTGCTCAGTAAATATTGTTAAATGTTATGTAAAATGTTTACATAACATTTTTTGCATATTCCATTGGACTGGAAAAAAAATTAAAACCAGGAAGGGATCTAGTCCAGGCATATAGTGATCTCACAGCCCTCCAATTGCCTATCCTTGAGCTGCCCTTTGATCTTGCAGGGATACAGGGTTGAAACTGCATAGGAACAAGCAGCTCTGTCAATTTTGACTTCAAAATACTTTTTGTAACTAAAGGAGACTCTTCGGGGTGTTGGATTATCTGCATAATACAGCACTGTATCTGTATCCTAGATAAGAACCTGAATTATGTGTTGAATAGCTATTAGTATCTTTAATGAGGGAAGGCTTAAATGTTGAATGAGAGAATATAGAATAATTGAGTTATTCTAACAGCAACTCTTATCCAGTGGTGGGATTCAAATAACTTAATAACCAGTTCTCTTCCCTAATGATCAGCTGGGTAGGCATCACTGGGTGGACGTGTGACCGGGTGGGCATGGCCAACTCGATTTCACTCGTGTGGTGGTGCCTGTATGGGCCAGGTGGAGTTGGGAGGGGACAGAAGAAAAGAAAGAGGGAAAGAGATTGGGTCTGTCTGTCTGTCTGTGTCTGTCTCTCTCTCTCTCTCTCTCTCACACATACACACACACACACACAGACACACACACAGAGGATTGGATCTTTTTCATGCTCACCTCACCCCACCCCCTCTCTTGGCAAAGACAGCACTTTGTGCTTGGTGGGCAAGGTGCTACTCACTCGGCTGCTTTCCCTCTTTTTTCTCCCCGTCTTCCTCCTCCAGACAAAAACTGTTAATATCTAACCCTATTAATATCTCTTCTTCGTTCTGCGGGTAAAGCTTCACCTGTTTTAGGCAAGCTTAGAAAGTCTGCCAGTGCTGTTCCTTGTTTGGTAATACTTAAGGAGAATTAGAGGCTAGAGAAATTTGATATTATCATCTCTGCTACAGGTGAGGCTGTCAGAAAGACTTTTTGGCAGGCATGCAGTGCCTTCTCCGCAGCCTCTCCAGCACTAATGAGAGATGCGGCTCTATTGCGCAGGAGAGGCAAAGCCTCTCATTTTGTACACACCATCCGCTGTTGACGGATATGCACATATGGGTAGCATGGTGGGTCCATCCTGGGCACAGAAGTTCTGTCACTAACCCGGCAATGTGGCCCAAGCCACGGGGGGGTGGGAGACTATCAAAATGGGAAGCGTGCCTCTGCCTGCATAACTAGGGGGATACTCTCTGCCCTTGCTCAAAAGTGACTCCTCTGCCATCACCCAATTCGATTTATGAGCACAATTAGACCCAAAATTTTAACTGCAAAGTGAGAGAGTTATAGTGAGTTTTGTCCCCATTTTAATTTTATGACCTTTCTTGCCACAGTTTTTAAGTGAATCACTCCAATGGTTAAATTAGTAACACAGTTAAGTGAATCTGGCTTCCCCATTGACTTGGCTTGTCAGAAAGTGGCAAAAAGAGATTCTGGGACACTGCAGTAATCATAAATATGAGCCAGTTGTCAAGTATAAAACATTTGATCATGTGACCATGGGGATGCTGCAACGATTGCATGAAAAATGATCATATGTCACTTTTTTCAGAGCTGTTGTTATATTCAAATAGCCATTAAACAAATGAGATTGAGATTTATTAGATTTATATGCCGCCCTTCTTCCAAGGACTCAGGGCGGCGTACAACAATTAAAAGAAACACATGATATAAAAGTTTNTGTGTGAAAGTATATTGTGATTTTTTGTCTTTTCTCTCTGTTCTATTATAAGCTATTGAGGAGTTATCTGATTGATTCCTACTTTTTAATCCTTTCTCTTCTTTATTTTTAGCTTCTTGCATCTCATTTTGATTTTTCCCTTCCACTGCTTCTTCTAATTTTCTCATCTATTTCTTGGATATCATGTTCCTCTTTTTCCCCGAATTGTTGAGTGACTTCTACATTCATTTCTGTGACTTTAAATAATCCCCTTGTCTCCTTATCGTTCTTTATAGATTCATGGACATTTTTTAACATCAAAAGTATTTCTACATATACCTCATATTCCTTTATCATCCCCTGTAAATTCATCTTATAAATAATTTAATAAAATTACTCAGTATATTTCTATAATTCCAATATCTCAATATTTAAAGCTCATTTTATAATCTTTAAAATTCTTAAAATTCTTTAGTAATTTGTAACCTTATATTTTCCCAATAATATATCTGCCCAATTGTCCAAATTTT